TTGAGTATTTAGAAAAGCGCTTTTAAATAAAATTTATTATTATTATTATTATTATTATAAAATAATTACTGAGAGTTGTTGGATTGCCATTGGTAAAGGGTATGGACTGGCACGTCAAGACAAAGCAGCACATCAGTGCTCAGCTATACTAGCAATGCTTTTGCATCACTTGGAGGCATTTGAATGGAAGATGAAATAAAAAAAAAAAAATGAAATCACTCATTTGAAAGCATAAGCACTTTCTCTGTGGTTAACTGGTTTAATGTGGAGGGATGCCATTTACCTTGTATTGGTATTAAAATTGGATCCCTGCTGGACCGCATGCAATGAACCAACAGTTAAACCTGGACACGGTCCCTTTGGTTTGCTGTCTCAGTGGTTTCAAAAGAGTGAGGAGAATGTCTGTCTAACTGTGTCAACTTCTCAAACATGAGTCACGCTCCACTGGCCTACATTCAGCACATCCCTAACAGCACTTCTGAGTCCAGGATCTTTGCTTTGTTGGTCTAGAAGCTGATTTATCAGCATTAATTAAAACACATATTTTCACCTGATGTGGTACATAATATATATTTCATTGTAATAAATAGCTAGTCATGGAACAATAAGCCCAGGTTATGGAAATGCCAGAAGAAATCTATGTTAGCAAATAAAATAAATGAGGACAGCAGCCATTGGCAGGTTGCTGAAATAGGACTACTTCACTACAAACTCTAATCACTATAACACTTAAGTTAATTTTTCTTGTTTTGTTTTGCGTCGACTCGCTGGCAGCGGCATTTAACATATATGTAACTGTATTGCAACCCCCACTGTCCACCACTACTACAGTGACTTTATCTAGCCAGTTCTGGGCTGTTTTGTGCTAACTGCAAAAGAGAGTCTGCAAGTATGTCACGGACAAGGCACTATGCTGTTGTTTGGAGGCCCTTATTTTGTGAAACTTTGGAGATTCTAAATCATCTAAAGTCCAGAGCCATGCTTTTAAAATGTATATGCATCATCTGGTGCATGTTAAGAAGAATAGTGGCTAGGTCTGTGAAAAATTCAAATCAAACATCTCAAATTGGCACCAGCAATTTAAACCTAAAGAAAATGATGATACACGAGGAACACTGGGGCTCCCCTACATCCAAAAATTTACAGGATTTACAGAATTTGAATGATCACATCTGCCAAATTTGCATAAATGAGACAGATGCTGCATTTTCCCTAAAACGTTTATTTTTACTGTAGTTGTCATGGAAACCAGTAGACTTCAACCAACACGTTACAGCAGAATTACAGTTGAATTTGTGCTAAACCATGTGTTTGTGACAAGTAGCCTAAACTGTTAACTGAAAACTCATTAACCTAAACATCCATTGAAACGCTTCAGATATTTGTAATCAATATGTTATTCAGTGCTGAGTTATTTTTAACAAAGTACATTTTAAAATGTTTGTTTCCTCAATGGAGTTTGGAATGTGTGACATCTTGAACACACACACATCTACTAAAAAGCATCTTATTATAAACACACATTTAAGTCCTTTATATCTTGTAATTTGAGGCCAAAATGTTCCTTTAATTTGCAGGATTAAGGGAACGTTTTGGCCTTGAACATTGATTCAAAATATTGACTGTAAGGACAGAAGCAACATTAGGAGCTTCAGTTTATTCAGTTAAGGATCAAATTCAGCTTTTAAAGTTACTGATTCTCCTCTATAACTGAAGATTTAGTTAGTTTAGATTAGTTATTATAAATTAACTATTAGACACAATTTACATGAGGGTGCTTGGCTACCAAAAGAGACCAGTAATTTTAATTTCTTAAAATTAATAAATAAATAACAGACTGTATTATAGCCTACCATCTATAGATAAATTGGCAGCTTGGGGCCCCCTGGTGGCTTTGGGGGCCCTATGCAACTGCATAGAAATGGGCCTGGTTGTGGAGTATCAACCTAAAAGGCAAAATTAACAGTTAAAAGAAAATTTACAAAAAGTCACAAAATATGGTGCTTAGGAGAGATTGTGTTTTCAACCCTCATCCTCCTAGCACATTCAACACACAAAGACTACTTAATTTGATAGTCGTACAACATTTTATTATAAAATGATGTATTTCTGACTGAGCAGTATTTAGGACGCAAAAAGCAAGGGAGGGAATCTGTGTCTCCCTCAAAATGACTGACAAAATGCACCTACCGCCCCAATAATGTGTGATACTTTAAATTGTGAATTATATTAAATGTCATAAGGAACACATTGAAAGACAAAGTCACGACAGATCAGAATAATAGGTAGGTAGCTGATCTGTGAAGTGTGAGAGAACTGTTCTAATTAGTGCAGCAGTCAATGGTTGTCAGACTGCTGTAGAAGAAAGTCTCTCATTTTCTTCCAGGTGATAACAATATCTTAAGCCAACACCCCCTTCCCCTTCTTTTCTTTTCTTCTGTTTGTGTATAAAATACAAAGACAGACACATGTATTGGACATTTTGTGGTTGTACTGAATAATTTATTGCCATAAAAGTATAACTAAAAATGTCTTTGTGTTTGGCCTGCAATATGTCATTACCGCTCCATTCAATAACCACTTCTTCAAGCCTTCAAGTCTATGACTTTATATCCGTATGATTGCATCTGTATGTGTGCACGTGTGTGCCTGTTGTGCAAAATGTTATCTGTGTGTACATGGGTGTTACTTGATCTGTTCAGATATGTCATTGTTACACTGCTATGAAATACTTGAGTATTCTAACGCTATGTACTTTTACAAAAATAATTTCTCAGTATCTGTATGATCTAAACAAGGACTTTATGTGCTGTGAGAGCCAAGGTCAGCAGCACAGCGCTGATCCTGACACTCCACGGTGCTCCACAAACGATCATGGCGTTTGAACCAAACAGAGCTTCATGAGCGACCTGCAATGTGCAAAGGTTTCTGGACACACAGCCAAGCTCCAACACCTCTTTGGAGTTTGACGTTGCTATGGAAGAAGTACGAGAAAGATAGGGTTATTAGAAATAGAAGGACTTCATTAAATAAGTACATTTTGTCAAATTATAGTAGTAGCATTTTGGTGGTGATGGTGACATGTTAACTGATAACTAAGATACAGTCATGAGGGGGAATTTAACCTGGCAGACACAGGTATCACAGTGTTGGGTCAGATTACTTTGAAATGATTTTGTTTCACACTCCAGGGATCCAAAGGGGGCCATAACAGCAAAAAGTTTCATGAAATAATTGACTAACTTATACATTTATTGGTGACCTCATTGATCTTCATGTTCAAAATTAAAATTTGATTTTGTATGGTTGATAATCGCTGTATAATAAACAATAGCATTTAAAATAAATAACATCATTACATTTTTTAAATTGGTATTATTATTATTATTTGTAGCTTGAATAGTGTTTTATCAATAAGGTTTGCTGAGCTAGCATGAACATCAATAGCCTCTATATTTAAGAGAAATCACATCACTGTACAGTTATTTCCCTGGGGAACTCACTGGTGCCATTGAAGCAACTGTTCTCGACTCCAGCACAGGACAGAGTGGCATTGCAGGTCCCCGCTAGGCTGTCAGCTGAGCTTGCACACGAAGGACATTGCTTCCCATTCTCTGAAGGATTGGGAACTGGAAACATGTAAAAGAAGGAAAGTCTTTACTACATGTACAAATTAATCTTATAACACCAATCCTCAAGCTGAACAAATTTTACTGAATTGATCCTTCCTAAGCCCCGCCCTTTTTTGGTCTGTGCTCTAATAACAGTAGAGCAAGCCTCGATTAAAACCTTGGTGTATTTCTATATGCTATGTGCCATCCTTGTCTATGTTGAAAATACTAATTTTGAAGTTAGAAGTTATTTTTAGGACGGTTTCCCCCTGCTTCCGGTCTTTATACTAAGCTAGGCTAAGCATGTTCTGACTCCAGCTTCCTACTTGCATGGGAGTGGTATCAGTCTTTTCATCTCAGTGTCAGAAGGTAAAGAAAATAATATTTTTGCCAACATGCTGATATCTACCTTTAAAATAAATGGTGAGATTAATGTTTAAGCTAGCCCTGGGCTAGGAAATGCAAGTGCAAGAGGCTTCAGTAAAGGCCACAGACTGGTTTATGACCCATAAAAAGTAGCAATAGATCTTACTGGCCAGTGTCTGGAAGTTGCAGTTGTCAGTAACACAGCAAAGCTGGTTGTGGGCTTCTTTCTTAAAACCTCTGTTCACAGACCATTCAGTTTCAAGTTGCAGAGGAGTGAAGCAGGACACCAGCGATGAACAGTTTTTATTCACCGTCAGTTTAGCGATTGTATTGGTCACTATCATTGTCAGGAGAGAAAGTAAAAATGGGTATGATAGAAGAACGAAATGATTCACTCACTTGTGTTATTTATCGTGAGAAAAACTCATCACAGTATGAAACTTTGCCTTATATTTCATTAATATGGTTGATGATAAAGCATTGGATAGACAGTGTTATGAATAACTGGCACCAACCTGAAGTGACAGTTTTGCACACTATACTCGTGGCAGGACATTCGACTGAGGTGGTGTTGGTACATTGCTCATTGTCACACACATGGCAGCGCAGGGACTCAGCTGAAAAGTGAACAAAATAATTTATTTAGCATTCAACTAATTTCTGTATTGTTATTATTATTCTATTATTATTCTGGTCAACAAAACCATCCACAATCCAAAGATAATAACTTTACAATTACATAACAAATCCTCACAGTGGAGAAGCTATAATCAGTGCATATTTGGCATTTTGCCCAACTAATTTATATTTAAAAAGGTGATATATCAGAATTGTATGTTGTAAAAGTCTAAATTTCCTGCTCCACTAATCCTCTGTAGAAAGCTCTGAACTTCACATGAAAATAAAAAATCATGCAGCATGAAAACTGTGCAAGGCTCCTGCTTTGTGTGGTAAAAAAGGAATTCCAAAAACCTTAACTACATTGAATAAATACAGAAAAATAACATACAGTATGTTTTGCATTGATGCAGAAGCTTGCATGTGTCAGACAACTCTGATGCCTGGAGAAAGCCAGTTACCTGTGTAAAGCAGAGTGCAGGTCAGACAGACAGTCAGCAGCAGCTTCATGTTGGATGTAAGTTGCAGCAGTTTGGTGTTCTGAGGCATAAACCCCACAGCTTATATACAGTTAGGTGGTGCTACCATAAGACTAGGAACTTCCTGGTTGATTGAAAAGAAACAAATATTCTTAGCATTTTCTTTTAAACCCAGCAGGAAGTGTGAATGGGCGGCACCTGAACAAAACTTGATGTTAACTGTTAACTGATATCAGCTTTGGAACCAGTTTAACGGCTGTTTATCTGATCATTTAGGTTTTGACTACTTTCTATTCTCTCTCAGGACCATAAGCTTTAGTCGTTCTACATGTTAGTGCAGCGGCAGCCAAAGCGTCAGCTATATATGAGGTTGTTGCAAAAGAAAATCAATGGGCAAGCAAGGTGTACCTGGATAATCAATTCATTTTTCTTGGTTTTCCTGTTGTGACACTGTGAAGAATAAGCGAATGTCACTTAGAGATATGCAAATAGACCTGTCTGAGGCAGATAGCACCCACAGCACAGACCGCATGCCTGTGTCGTACTCACACGCATTATGCCTTTGATTATCATCTCCTGACGCAGGTTTATATCCTCACAAGGAAGGAGTTTCAGTGAGGATTCCTCAATAAGAGCTTCGTGTTCAACAAACACAGGCCTCAACTCGGCACAAATGTGTCATTTGAAGTTGGTTTAAATGGGTCAGAATACATTACATTTATATTGACTTCTAGCCTCCCATCCATCCATTTCCTGCTGCGGGTCAGGGTTGCAGTGGGATTAGGCTAAACAAAGTAGCACTGATGTCCCTCTTCCTAGCCACATCCTCCCACTCTTCTTGGGCAATCCCTAGGTGTTCTCAGGCCAAATGATATATATACCCTTGCCACTGTGAAGCTATCTACAGACATAAAGGAGGTCAAAGGTCAAAGCTTGTGCCTCTTCTATATATAATATAGTATATCTGTGGCTCGTCCTATTTAGTTGTGAACAATGGTTCCATTGCAGTAGAACGTTATGGGATGATGATGATGACTCTTTCAGGTATTAGTAAGGACAGGGAAATGGAGTTATGGCTTGTAAAAAACTTTGCAAAATGCAATTGTTAATGGACATCATCAGGCATTATCCCTTATCTAAAAAACATTTAAAAAATGTTTGGTGATAACATTGTTTGAACTTTATGCCTCAACATTTTTTTCAGTGGCAAGTTTGTTTGTTTTTAATCTTTCCCTGTCACAGCCCAGCTATTAGGACTCAACAGAGATGTAGACGGGCGAGTTTTTAACTACTTGCAAGCTTGTTTATTTACAAGAATAAATAATGAGAATGTGGATGTAAGCAATGTGAGCATGTATGGATGCATGTGAATGTTTGTAGCAAAGAAAAAACCAAACAGCTGCGTCACGATGATAGAGAAGAGAGAGCGCTGACGCGTGGAACCATGAACCACACGGGGCCCAGGGGTGGCTCATCACCCTCCACCCACAACCAGGATCTGGAAAACAAAAGAGAACAAAACATATGGAGTTGGATAACATGCTTTAAAAACATTGTAAAAATGTTATGTGGTAACTTTTTTAAATGATTACAATATTATGAAAAACTAACAAACATTTTATAAAAGAACATTTCATAATCTGTAACCATAACATTACCAAAACATTCTAAGAATATGCTTGCAGGCGAAATGTTTGTATACATGTCACATTACACACGTTTTCTCAAAAAATACCCTCAATAACGTCCTTAAATAATTTTGCATTAAAAATGTTCTTTGTTCGTTATCATGTAACAATATGTAAATGTAATCTGCTGCCTCATAATGTCCCTAAAACATCCTCAGTATTCTGCAGGCAAAATGTTTTTGTTGTTCTGTCTTTGTTAACATTTCACATTATAAGAATGTTTTATAAAAACCTTTCGGTCATCTCAGGCCTTGATAAAATCCTCAAAACATTTCATCAAATCATCAAATGTTACTTTTGTTCTTCTGTTGTTATCATGTAACATAAAGTGTGCCTCTGAGAACATCCTCAAAACATCTAATGATATTTTTTTAAACTTAGCCTGGATTGTCACCTTGTGAAGGACACGATTGGTCAGGCAGTCTGGCAATTCATTCATTTATCAGTCCAGCCAGCTTAAAAAGAGAGCAACAGTGGGCCAAACGGCGAACTAGAGCTGTGAGTTGTGCTGTTTGTTGTGTGAGTGCAGGTTGTACTGAGTGGCATTCAGTATTTTTTTGCTTAATTAATAGTTTTGTTTTTATAGTAATTTATTTCCCCTTTCTCTTTTAAGGAAGTAGATTTTAGTTGAAACTGAGCTTTTCATTTCTAAGTATTCATTTATATTGCTAATAAACATATTTTTGTTTGTACATATAATTCTGTTTTTCCATCCATCTTTTATGCTGGGTTTATTTTTTAATTGTTATTCCTCTCACCCCTGGATTTAACATCTGAGGTTGTAACAGCAGTACACAAGACCACATTTGTTGACATAAATGTTTCACTTTTTCTTTTCTTGCAAGATTGGCAACTTCTACAATGTGTGCTCGCACACTATGTGCTCAGACATACGTAGACAGCATGTTGCAGATATCCTGCGGTATCACTTATCACTGAATGAGGTGTACACAATAATGAACAGATCTGAAACAGCCAGGTGGTGAAACTGCATTCCATTCTGGATATCTATGTCACGTGTCACAAACTAACTAATACTTTCAATGCTTTCAACATTGAAAGGATAGTTTTTGGTTTGAAATGTTAATTAGAGATATAGATTCTTGTCAGAGGGACTGACTCAGCTTAAACAGAGACTGAGAAAAAAGCACTAAAAGCCTTGTACTTACAGGACATAACATTCAGCCTATTTACCGCTTTGAATTTTGTTTGCATATTTACATTTTTTACTTGCTCCCAAGTCCGTTTCACACAGCCAGGGTTTCTGCTGGGAGAATAAGGCAAAA